AATATACCCCAGCGACTTAACACTGCTTTTGTGCTGCAGGGTCACATATGTACTTTTTAGTGGGTGTCAAGCCTAATTACAGGTTTTAGACCCTCCCTAAAGCCTCTGTAATTAAAGCAGGTGTGCGCCGCGAGAACAGCCTTTAATGTGACTCCATGAAGCTGCGCAGCAGACCGTGAGTCACTCTCACACCGGCTCTACCCACGCAAGCGTCCAGCTTCTGAGTGTGTGTGAGTGTGTTAAAGAGTAATTCGGGAAGCTAACATGTCCTTCATGAATGATTTCTGTTTAAATTACAAGTGTGTGTATATATGTGAGTTCGGGTCTGGTTTGAACTTTGAATGTTGTACTGTTTGGAGTTTGCTTGACTTAGAGTGTGTGTGTGTGTGTGTGTGTGTGTGTTCTTGCATGTGCATGAGGACTCAATTACACACTTGAGCCTCTGATTACTCGTCATTACGCCTTTAAGAGCGGTTGGGAGGTGTTGCCATAGTAACCTGACCCCAGAAGCCATTGAACAATTACTCTTGTACTTTCTAAGAAGCGTTTAAGACGCTTTCCAGCATCTGAGTGTATTTAATACAAGCCTACACACTCTGTGGTCTCAATCATGCTAATTCTATAATTGATAAGCATTTTCAACAACCATTCCAGCGCTGGTTGCTGCGTCTCTGAGCATTTGTGCTTTTGCTCTAGTATTGATAGTTATGGTATTGGCCAGTTGTCTTAATTGTTCTAAAATATTATATATGTACAATTACAAAAAAAATATGTTTTGAGTGAATAATGTAATGTTTCACACCTTTATTGTTTTGGGGAAAAAAGATAATTTAACGTGTTCTGAGCTTTTATGACAAACTTGCTCCAATATCATGTATTTTGCCATTAAAGAAACAGGAAATGCTTTCTTCAGTGAAAAAGTGGTCTGGTCTGAATCAGGAGAGAAATCTGCACTGATCAAGCACCATTTACAAGCCAAAACTGTGCAAAACAGCCCTAAACAAATATGTTGGTGGATTTTGATGTGAGAGACAACAGGAGATGGACTTTTTACAGAGGAAGCATTATTATGGATTATGGATTAAATCAGTATTTTCGCTGGAAGCAATGGTTTAAATTTAAAACGTCTTAATGTTGGATTTATTTCTCACAAACACACAGCTTTTCACTGTTCAAGACATTAACTGATGGACTGGAGTGATGTGGATTATTTGTGGATTATTGTAATGTTTTTTATCAGCTGTTTGGACTCTCATTCTGACGGCACCCATTCACTGCAGAGCATCCATTCGTGAGAAAGGGATGTGAAGCTACATTTCTCCAAATCTGATGAAGAAACAAACTCATCTACATATTGGATGGCCTGAGGGCGAATGTTCAGCAAATTGTCATTTTTAGGCCAAAACTGTGCAAAACAGCCCTAAACAAATATGTTGGTGGATTTTGATGTGAGAGACAACAGGAGATGGACTTTTTACAGAGGAAGCATTATTATGGATTATGGATTAAATCAGTATTTTGGCTGGAAGCAATGGTTTAAAGTTAAAACGTCTTAATGTTGGATTTATTTCTCACAAACACACAGCTTTTCACTGTTCAAGACATTAACTGATGGACTGGAGTGATGTGGATTATTTGTGGATTATTGTAATGTTTTTTATCAGCTGTTTGGACTCTCATTCTGACGGCACCCATTCACTGCAGAGCATCCATTCGTGAGAAAGGGATGTGAAGCTACATTTCTCCAAATCTGATGAAGAAACAAACTCATCTACATATTGGATGGCCTGAGGGCGAATGTTCAGCAAATTGTCATTTTTAGGTGAACTATTCCTTTAAATATCATATTATAGCCTGTTTAATGGCCTTTTTAGTGAAATGTAACAGTAATTATAAACTAAAATGATTCATGAAATGATAGCATATCAAACCATTGTTTGGCTGACAGACAAAGCAATTAATAATTGTATGTATTCTAAAAAGCATGTGACAACCTGCCCCAACCTGACAATTATGAAGAATACTCTTGTCCTGAGAGCACATTTGGACCTTTCTGCTAAAATTGTATTGCAGAGTGGATTTATTGTGTTCATTTGTTTACCTAAGAGCTATATTGGGATTTTTATTTGGAAAATATAGATAGATAGATGCAGTTAAACTTTTGACTTTGTTACTGAGCTATAGTGTTTCTGACAGCTCCACAATACACATGTATAATATATATGAAGAAATATATCGGCCTTCATAGCATCTTATAGCTTGCAGTTGGGGAAGATCTGAAAGCTGGTTGGGTTTAGCGTGGGCTTAATGTTCAGCATATTGTTTATTCTTTTTTTAGATGTTTGCATATGAATATGGAAGCAGATTTTCCGCTGTAATCCATCTTGTGGTGGGCTCACTAAACACCACCTCAGTCAGACATTTAAGAGAAATGCTAGGGGGAATTGTGAGATTAAGAAGATTACCTGGTTTGTCTGAATGTTTGTCCTGCTGAAAAGACCAGTAGTTGGTCACTTCTCAAGAACAGTGGCTGACGCGCCTAACCCAGTCTAGCCTAGTTCATGGTCTTCTCAGTAAAGTAGGGGGCGAAAACGAGAGGGTATAAATTACGACTTTAAGTGAGTAATGTTAAATTGAGAGAGATAGCCTATATAGAGAGATTTACGAGGATGGCTATCCATATTGTGGTAAACATCACATGAAGCTGCTGGAGTGGTTTTGCCCTTTTAACGGTCGTTAATCCCGCGCGCAGTTGGTGGGCACATTAATCCTGCGCGAAGCCCAAAGCCACTTTGGCTAAAAAGCCCCATCCTGTAACGCAGCCACCGCTTTATCCACACTTTAGTCATGCTGGCTTGAAATAAACCCAGAAAATAAAGTTTGCTGATAAACTTTTGCTGTATGGTCACTATATTCTCGCATGAATAAGTTGCTTTCAGAAATAACTTGTATATAATAAATATTAAAATAAATAAATCGACATTTTCCTTTGTATTCACTAAATATCCACACGGATAGCAAAAGTTTCTTTCATTTTTGTTATTTTTTAATACTTTTGAAATTATTAGTGTCTTAGTAGTTTACCCTAAAATTAAAAGTTTATGATTTATTCATCTTCATGTCTTTCGAAGACTTTTTTTTAGACTAGCCACCATATTTTGCAACGCGCAAGTTAAGCTGTTTTCTGTGAATGTGCGACTTCCGATTCTTTAGCCGCTATAGAAAATAACTAGAAATATAACCGTGCACTGAACGGTAAAAGTTTTTGCGCTACAAACAAGTGTGTTTATGATTATGATAATAAATTAAAATAATATGACAAGAAATACTAGATTATAAGATCAAGCAGCATAGCAGACCTTTTTTTTTTTACGATTTCTGAACAGGTAAAATAACTGGAAGCAATGACACCGGAAGCCTCGCACATTCAAGTAACAAATGCTTACACTCTAAAAAATGCGGGTTGTTTCAACCCAACTATGGGTCAAATATGGACTAACCCAACTTTTGGGTTAAAAATGTAATGTAAAAATTTAACCCAACGTTTGTGTTAGTCCATATTTGACCCAAAGTTGGGTTGAAACAACCCGGCATTTTTTAGAGTGTGCGTTGAAAATATATTTAAAAATGTTTGGGTGACCCCAACGTTCTAAAGAATGTCTTCTTTTATGTTCCGCTTAAGATAGAAAGTCACACATGTTTGGAAATGCATGAAGGTGATCAAATAATGACAGAGTATTTATTTTTGAGTGAATTATGCTATTAATTTTGCAGCAAGTTCAGTCATTTTCCATCACGTTACCTCCTTATACATTCACACTGGTGTTCATTTAGCCTGCATTTGATCTTTACAGCTTTAAATCCACTGAATTAATTAAACATCATCCCTTAGACTTTGAAAGGGGGTAATTTGCATTTCAGTCCCGAATAGTGAAATGCCACAAGGTCTTCGGCTGGTTTGTGTCTGTTTGAGGTGGCGTACCGCAGGGATTGGTGTTGGGCCCCTCACATTTTAAAAACGTATGCGATCTTGCACCTTGTCACTCACAAACAGGCACCCTTAATGCATTACCTGCGTTAGAGCCTCATCCATTCATTCACAACAGCAGAAAAGCATGTTTCGCAAACGTCCCTATGGTCGTTTGTCTCATGTTCAAACATTAAATGATAAAATAATCACTGTAAATCATCCACACTAGTTGTGAGGAGGAGAAGCGCAGGCTTGCAGGTGCCACGGCCGGTTGGATGCAGCCAGTCTCGGGGTTCACTGGTGGGAGGGGTTGAGTCGCGGGCTGGGATGTGTGTGCCTGATCACGCTCCGGCAGTGTTAGTGCGTGACAAGAAGACGAGACGACACTACAGCTGTGGCTCTCTGGTGCCCCGCCGTTTACCGGGTTACCGACCCCAAATCTCCGACGATACACCTGTGGAAAGCACACGCCATCCGTGACCTTAGTGGATTGCAGGTAAGAAGGACCGTCACCAGAGCATCACCACAAACAACCTGTGCACGGACACACGCCGCTCTGCGCGCGAGTTTGGATCTGTGGAAGCGATGATGTTCTGGAATGAGGAACGCGCGCTCTCTTTCTGTGTTTCGCTCTCTGCAGATTATCGACCGACCGCGAGCATACCGGTTGTATGGGTACCAGTATGACTTACTATGTATCATGTGCAATTTCATATGCATTGCATGTGTGACTTGGTACGAATGTTATATTTGCAATGTTAAATATGCAATGTCTTATTAAGATTGAGGAGATACAGGAGGTTGTTTATGAGATGCATTTGAGCTCATGGAGTTCTGTGGCCACTGCAGTGTGATGCGTTTCAGCACCGCGGACAGCGCAAAGCTCCCGTTCTCTCGGTGATCAATGGCAAGGTCGTTCACTCTCATCCGTCCCGTTCGATCTTTGAGTGGAGCTCTCTGCCCTATCAGCCTGACATTTGCATTCATTTGAATGAAGTGTGCATTAAATGCCAGCACGATTTCAGTGCGAATGGCTGATATTGGCGAGGTTTTTGTGGGATTGCAGTTTGTTTCCCCTCCTATTGTTTCTTTTATGCCTGAGGCAGAAGGATGGTTCGGTGTGATTCATTCGTTATTTTCGCTTCCATCCAGCTCTTGCCCTAATCTTTTACTCGAAAGCGAGGCAGCTTTTCATCGTCTCTCTAATGGACCCCACATTTCAACAAGGACCCAGGGTCCAATCTGCGGTTTGGCCCTTGAATGCAGCTGAATGAGGGAATTCATTTATGCTGATCTTTATTTATACAGATGCCATTGCTGTGAGACTAAAACGAGTTGCTTGTGAAAACCTCGCCGTGCAGGTCCATTCATTCTGTAAATGCTCTCCTGTTTTTATTGTAAAAAATTGTCACCTCATTTTTGTTCTCTATGTGGTCTGTACTTGGAATGAATGGGTCTGACAGCCAATATGAGTGTTTTTTGTTCGTGTCCAGGGCCTGAAAGCTTTCTTGGCTATTCTTGAATGTCTGTTGACAGCCAACGTTTTTGTTGCACTTTCAGACCCAGAACACACGTTATATTCGAAAAAAACATCTTGGCACACTGAAACAGATGAACTTGCAACCATATACACTAAACATTTTTTTTTATGTAGAAACAGCTTTCATTCAGAAATTTCTAGTATATTTCACAAATAATTACAAAGATTTTTTTTTACCTTTCTGCTAAAATTAATTCATTAGTCAACCCTTGTATTCCAGAATGGTCTTGTTGTGTTCATTTGTTTACAGAGGTATACTGGAACTTTAGTTTGGACAATTGAACTTCACATGTATTCTGAAAGTTCCATTTTCCAAAGTAAAATTCCAAATATATACTGTAAACATATGATCAGTAATTCTTGACAACATGTTTTTCCATTACATCAACTCATTAAAATAATTTAACTAATGTCAACTTAATTTTAAAGTCTATACAAGATTAAACTTAATTTAAGTTGATGCGAGTCGGAGTAAAAATAATTTTCACTGTTAACAATTTTGAAATTTTTGATGACATCATTCTGCAGGAAAGCTGTATGAAACATAACAGTGTGACATAAATTGGGGTAAAATAAAATTGTTTTAGGATTTACTTTTACCCAGAAATTGCTAGTTAATTTCACAAATAATTACAAGTATGTTTAAAGTTGTAAAGTGAATTGTAAATAAAACAAAAATATTAGAGTATGTTTAAAAAAAATACAATTTTAGTCTTTCTACTTCAAAATGACTTGTTTATTTTTAATTGTTTGTGATATTTACTAGCAATTTCTGATAAAAGTAAATCCTACACCAATTTTATCACAATTGTGTTTTTTAAAAACAACTCTCCTATAGAATGATGTCATCAAATATTGAATGTAAAAGTTTAAGACTTGTGCAGAAACGATTTTTACTCCGAAATTGCTAGTAAATTTGGCAAATAATTAAAAAAAATAGTTTAATTGTTCTAATTAATTAAAAAAATTGCAAAGACATTGAATGAAGTGTGAAATTTAGAAGCAGAAAGACTGAAATAGTATTTTCTTGTTAAAATAATCTCAATCTGATTTACAACTTTGAAAAATCATTTTTCCTGTGTACATTTCCCATGTTTTGTCTGTTTGTGTGGATGTAATAACATTGCTGTGTCCATCTCCTCTCATTCAAGGTTATGAGGCCCCTCATCTCATGCCGTCCCCAGCTCCAGGTTGCCACGGCAACGACCCAGCATGTCTGTTGACAGCCAACGATTTTGTTGCACTTTCAGACCCAGAACACACGTTATATTCGAAAAAAACATCTTGGCACACTGAAACAGATGAACTTGCAACCATATACACTAAACATTTTTTTTTATGTAGAAACAGCTTTCATTCAGAAATTTCTAGTATATTTCACAAATAATTACAAAGATTTTTTTTACCTTTCTGCTAAAATGTATTAATTAGTCAACCCTTGTATTCCAGAATGGTCTTGTTGTGTTCATTTGTTTACAGAGGTATACTGGAACTTTAGTTTGGACAATTGAACTTCACTTGTATTCTGAAAGTTCCATTTTCCAAAGTAAAATTCCAAATATATACTGTAAACATATGATCAGTAATTCTTGACAACATGTTTTTCCATTACATCAACTCATTAAAATAATTTAACTAATGTCAACTTAATTTTAAAGTCTATACAAGATTAAACTTAATTTAAGTTGATGCGAGTCGGAGTAAAAATAATTTTCATGTGGAGGCTGGGGGCGGGGCCAAGTGTGCCGATCCTGGAGCCACGCCCATGAAGGGCAAGAAGCCAATCGTGGGACTGATCGGTCCGGGTTCGAGTTCCGTGGCCATTCAAGTGCAGAATTTGCTGCAGCTGTTTAATATCCCGCAGATCGCATACTCCGCCACCAGTATGGACCTCAGCGACAAATCACTCTACAAATACTTCATGAGGGTGGTGCCATCGGACGCCCAGCAGGCCAGAGCCATGGTGGACATAGTGAAGAGATACAACTGGACCTACTTATCTGCCATCCACACAGAGGGTGAGTGTTTCATTTACATTAGCACATAATCTTGCTGAAGTTTGTGAGTCATTTCAACTGATTCCTTACAAGAATCACATCATAAGATTCTTTTGTTTGTGAATTGGATTCAATGACTAATTCAGCTTTTACATTTTTTTGATAATTCATCGCAAGAATTAGATCATAAGAGTCATTCATTTCTTTAACCAATTCATTAAAGGAATCTGATCAAAGAATCATTCAGCAAATCATTAGAGCGTTTTAACTTGTCTTTTTGAATGATTCATTGCAAGAACCAGAGTCTTTGGTTTGTGAATTGGGTTCATTGACTAATTCTGTCTTTTTGACCAAATCATTACAGGATTCAAATCAAAAAAGAGTCATTTGTTTGAGAATTGGATTTCGCTTGTGATTCATTAGACTGATTCAACTTGTGTCTCTTTGACCAATTCATTACAGAAATTGAATCATAAAAGGATTCAGCATTTATGATTCTTTTTGACCAATTTGTTATAGGAACTGGATCATAAGAGTCATTACTTTGTAAATTGTATTATTGTATTAATTAATTATACTGAATCAACTTGTGATTCTTTTTAACCAATTCATTACAGGAATCAGATCATAAGAGTCATTTTTTTTGTGAAGTGGATTCAGCAAGAAATGTATTAGACTGATTCAACTTTTGAGTTTTTTATGATCCGATTCTTGTTATGACCTTTTTTAAAGAGTCATTTGTTTATGAATTGGACTGTTCGTTTTCCATGTATGCTGAAAAGGCATGTAATAGTGGTCTATTGTTTGTGTATTTTATCACAGTAGTGATGTTAACATTCCATTTAAACTGCAAACTCATAGCTAAAATATCACTTGTTTTGCCATGCTACTTTATATGCTGCATCAGTGCAGTGCCGCCCACACACACACACACACACGACAGCGATGAGGCGTGATGTGCATGGTGTCTGTTACAGAAGTGTCACATGTGTTCTGTCATTGTGGAC